AAAAAAAAAAAAAAAAAAAAAAAAATGAGCAGAGCCAAGTGAGCATGACAACACAGACCAGCAAAGGAAAACTGAGACTGTCCACACTTGGTGTGGAAAAGATAGTCACACCCTAGGTGACTATTACTGGTTAATTGAGACCTATATCCAGCTCCCACAATCCTGCTTGCCAGATCTTCCACTTGTTGCTACAGTCATAATGTTTGCTGTGGGTCTGTCATATGAAGTTAGGGCTTCAGGAATAAGAATGGAAGTTCTTCCTCACAAAATGTTTTAGACAGTGTTTTGATGTACATTTTAATGTGTGGTACTTAGAAAAAGGGTTTTCTAATTATAATAATGGCATAAATAAAAACAGGAGTATAAACGTTCCAGATTTTAGAAGCAGCTGACTTCAGAGAAATCACTGAAGGTTAATGCTACCAAAGTGAATTTTATAATATGTAATAATCCAAATATATGGCCAGGTGTGGTGGCTCATGCCTGTAATCCCAGCACTTTGGAAGGCCAAGGTGGGAGGATCGCTTGAGGCCATGAGTTCGAGACCAGTGTAGACAACATAGCAAGACCCTGTCTCAAAAAAAAAAAAAAAAAAAAATTAGCCAGGCGTGGTGGTGTGTGCCTGTAGTCCTAACTTCGGGTGAGAGGATCACTTGAGCCCAGGAGTTTGAGGCTGTGGTGAACTGCGATCACACCCATGGGTGACAAGAGTGAGGCCCTGTCTCAATAATCATATCATCACCATCATCATCCAAGTATAGGGTCCTGAAATTGAGAGCTCAAAACTCCCCCCTGCCATTTTTCAACTGTGTTACCTAGGGCTTGCTTCCTAACCTTTCACCGTCATCATCCAAGTATAGAGTCCTGAAACTGAGCAGCTCAAAATTACTTTTCAGCTGTATTACCTAAGGCTTGCTTCCTAATCTTTCTTAGCCTCAGTTGCCTCATCTATAAATGGGGAGTGCAATAGCACAGAAGGCTTATGTGAAGATTAAAGAAATATGATGCGTCATAAGGTGCCTGGCACAAAAATGGTAGTTTTTAAACCACACCATCTTGCTATATAGAAAGGACTGGTTCTCAGGTGTGTTACTTAAAAATAGTGACACCAATAACCTAAAAACTCAGTGCTACCATTTCTGCTCAGCACTAGAGTAACTGGTGTTGAAATTGTCCAGACAGCTATCTTTATCATTTCTGAGATGAATTCCCAATCAACATAGCAGAAAAAAGGAAATACCTCACCAAAGATTTCTGAAAGTCAAATGATATAAAACTTAAACATTATATATGTCTGTTTCCTTTTATGCCAGAATTAATGTGACAGATTTATGCTGAAAATGGAATATAAAAACTTTTGCATAGTCTATATTTAGGCCAAAACTGCCTTTGCTACTTAAGAAACTCCAATGGGCCAGTGAGGACGCCGCAGGTGGCAGAAATGTCCAGGGGTGTAACACCTACAAGCACGGTACTCACAGGACTGTTACACGAAAAGGGTTTCTTGGAGGAAAAGTAATGCAATGTGCAAAGAAGCTGTTGCCTCCAATTATTCAAGCCAAGCCTACAACAGTAGCCACAAATCTGTCGGTTATTTCCAGTTAAGGCAGAACGTTAATCCCAGCACTTTGGGAGGTGGGATTTATTTGCTTAAGTAACTTAAAACAATAGTTATTTTTTTCTCCACTGAGTTTTCAATTAGATAATGTCAATAACCTTTATAAAGCTGGAATTACATAGTCGAAGAATAAACAATTGTGGTAAAACATACATAAAACTTACCGCTTAAGCCCGTTTTAGGTGTATAGTTCAGTGGCATTAAGTACACTCACGATGTTATGCAGCCATCGTGAACATCCAGCTCCAGGACTTTTTCATCTCCCCAGACTGAAACTCTGTCCCCATGAAACACCAGCTTCCCATTCCCCCTTCCACCAGCCCCCAACAAAAGCCATTCTATTTTTTGTCTCTGTAAGTTTGACTCCTCTAGGTACCTTATTATATAAGTGGAATCACACAGTATTTGTCCTTTTGTGACTGGCTAACGTCCCTCAGCATAGTGTCCTCCTCCAGGTTCATCCATGTAGTAGCATGTGACAAATTTCGTTCCTTGTTCAGGTTAAAAAATGTTCCATTGTGCCGGGCGCGGTGGCTCAAGCCTGTAGTCTCAGCACTTTGGGAGGCCGAGGCGGGTGGATCACGAGGTCAAGAGATCGAGACCATCCTGGTCAACATGGTGAAACCCCGTCTCTACTAAAACCACAAAAAATTAGCTGGGCATGGTGGCACGTGCCTGTAATCCCAGCTACTCAGGAGGCTGAGGCAGGAGAATTGCCTGAACCCAGGAG